GGAGCTGGAGACTGAAGAGCAGGACCCCAATGACCTAGGAGACCCGGCAGTGATGAGAGCCGTGCAGAGCAAACCCACACTGGAGGTGACACAGGAGGGTCCCCCTACTCCCCCCTTCATCCCCACTCCAGTGGGTCGTGCCCCACAGACGGCACTGGGGGAGGGAGACGGACCTGTAACTCTTCTTTCCTTTCAGAGCCAGGACTCGGCGGTGCTGGACAGCAGGATTGGTGCTTGCTGGGCAGAGTTTGACAAGGAGGACATGGTAAAAATGTCCCCTCCCATCTGGTGATGGGGCTGAGCAGCCCCCACAGTGTCCCCTGGCCCTCTTGCCCCATGCCCACCATCTCCCTGTCTTCCAGCTGACGATGGATCCTGGGACGTGGGGCTCCTGCCCTGGCAGTGTCTCACCCCACCATGTGCTGGAGGTGGGTACTGCCAGCCAGGCCCTCCTACCCTGGGACAAGGGTTACAAGGGGATTTGGGGTGACTGGGGAATCTCCATCACACCTCTGGAGGTGCATGGATGTGTCTTGGGTGCCAAGGCTGTGGATGGAGGTGCCCACTCAAAGCAGAGCCTGGTTTTGAAGGCAAAACTGTTGAGTTTGGGGGGATTTGGACCCCCATGCTGGGTGTTCCCTTGGGCTCCCGGCTGCTCTGCACTACCACGGTGAGAGCCCAGGTGGTGCATGGTCTGTTTGAGCAGTGACTGAAGGTTTTGGTGAGCTGCCTGGTGCTGGGGAAACTAAACTGATCACAGCTGGGCCCCGTTCCCACCTGCTGCTGCCTCCTCCCTACAGGATAAAGCCATCCTCCAGGTCCTGGAGAGGCCCCCACCATCCACCAACATGGCCTTTGACTTTCTTGGCTCCCGTGTGCAGAGGGGCTATGGGGACTCTCCCCGGCTCAAGCACCCTGACTTGAGACTGATGTCCCCCAAGTCCTTCCCCCAGCATTTCATCCAGCAGGTAACAGGTTGTAGGGGGGCTCTTGCATTCCCTCTTTCTCTGTCCTCCTGTCCCTGGAGGTGCAGCCTGGAGGACAGGCTTGTCCCAGTGACACTTCCCATCTCCTGCCCTGCAGCAGGCACCTCTGATGTCTCCTCGCTCCCCGTGCCCCCCACGGCCCTTCCCGCCAGCTCGCAGGCCCCCTCCACTCTTCACTTCCAACCAGGTAATGCTGTGGGCTGGGAGCCACCACCATGGCCCTGGAGCGGCAGGGCATGGGGACAGTGGCAGGTGTGGTGTGGTGCCAGAGGGTGGCCCCTGTGGGGATGGGAGCCAGAAGCCAGCACAGAGCTGGCTGACTCATCCAGGGCGCTCAGAAGGGAAGGCTCAGACCCTTGATTGCTTCTCTCTCCCTCTCAGACTGCAGGGTACACGTCTCCAGCCCCTTTCCAGCCCGGGTCCCCCACCATGGACAGCCCACTGCAGCCCCTGGCCATGCACTTTGGGCCCATGTCCCCCTCCTTGGACCCTGCTCTCTTCTTCAGCCCCTCAGCCAACAGCCAGCTGAACCTCAGGTAGCAAGAGTGGGGTGTCCAGGTGGGACCCCACAAAGCAGCTGGAGGGTGTCCCTGCTCTGGGGGTGTTCCGAGCCCTTCCCGACCCCTGTCTGGTCTCCCCTGCAGCATGCCCAGCCACATGACGCAGCTGCACCCCCAGCACCAGCGGATCCTAACACAGCGGCAGCAGCAGGGCAGGCAGGCACAGAGGTAGGTATGAGGGGTCCCCGGGAAGCTGTGGGGTGCAGGGAGGGCTCTGGGCGGTCACAGCAGGCTGAGGTCTCTTCCTGTGCCAGTATTTCCCCCAAGAAGCCGTGGTCTCCTAAAGTGGACCCTCACGCTGGGCTGATGACCTCCAAGGAGAAGGACTGGGTCATCAAAGTGGAGATGATCCAGCTGCAGAGCGAGAACATAGATGATGACTACTACTATCAGGTGAGCTCCTGCTGGCAGCACCTGTGGCTTGTTCTCAGGGCTGGGCTTTGGGAGCCAGAGGAACCCTTCAGGGTGTTGGAGGGGACTCCTGACCTGTTGTTGCAGTGGTACTACCACCGTCTGGAGCGCAGGCAGGCGGAGGAGGAGCTGTTGGGCGGGCGCAACAAGCTGGACACCCCCAAGCTGGTCACGCCGTTCATCCAGAAAGTGGAGACCTATGACTCTGGTGAGGGCTGGGGCAGGTGTTGGGGGCTGGGTGAGGGGCTGTGGCCGTGGTCTCACCGTGTCCCCCCTCTCACAGTGGTGCGCATCGCCGGCTCGCTGGGCCAGGTTGCTGTTTCCACCTGCTACAGCCCTCGCCGGGCCATTGATGCTGTGCACCATGCCCTCGTGGAGGAGGTAGGTGAGGGGAAGCCAGGCTGGTTGGTGCCCTGAATTGCTGGGAATGCTGCTTTGAGGTCCCCCTGGACCATGGAACAGCTATAGGAGCTGCCCCAAGCAGTGGAATGGGGCACACAGTTGGAGGAGGTCCCACCTCAGCAGTGGCAGCTTGTCCCTGGCCAAGGGGTGGGATGGGGTTCTGGGTAGTCATGGTCCCATGGTCCTCCGTGGGATTGCTCTGTGTCCTGAAGCCACCTCTGATCCCCAGGGAGCAGCTGGCCCAGTGCTGGGCCAGCAGTGGTGTCTGGGACTGGCTGTAACTCTTGTGCCTTCCTTTCTCCCCTCCTGAAGGCTGCAGGGAGCCACCGGCTGCGGGCACTGCACAGGATCGAGAAGGTGAGCAAGCAACGATTCAGGGCAGGGTGGGATGGCCCAGGTGCTCCATTTTCATCCAGGAATCTCCCAGTGGGACATCTACCTGGGCAGGGGCCCAGGTAACCAGTTGGTAGAAGATGTTCCAAGCTTCCTCCTTACTGTGTGCCATTTCTCCAGCTCTTCCTGCAGCTGCTGGAAGTGGAAGAGGCACAGCAGAAGATGTCCCTCACCCTGGGGGTGGAGCAGGAGCAGCAGAGCCAAGAAGTGGAGGGTCTCTACCATGCCTTGAAAATCAGAGCTTGCAACAGCGAGGAGTGAGTCTGTGCTGAGGGGAGTGGGCAGCACAGCTTGGTCCTTGTGGATCTGAGATGGCAGTGGATGAGCAGGTCTGGGTGACGGGGAGTGTTGGATCCTGCCTGCTGTGTCACCCCGGCCTGTGCTGACCCTGCCTGTGAGCCTCACCCTCCGCTGGAGCTGATGCTCGTCCTCTTGGATGGATAGAGATGCCCTAGGTCCCTCGGGATCTGTGCCAATGGAGCCTTCATCCCCAGGGAGGCAGAGGATGAATTCCTGCAGCTGCTGTGTGTGCGGAAGGGCAAGAAGCTCGTGGCTCGGCTGCTGCCCCACCTGACCCGGGAGCAAGGGGAGAAGATCCTGCTGACCATCACTCACCACCTGCCCTTCCTCATGAAGAAGGATGTGCTAGATGAGGCAAGCACCTCCAGCCAGGGCAGGGATGGACTGGGCTGCCTCCTTCCCCTTCTGCTCTCAATGGGGGGTACTCTGGGCAATGGGGGGTCCTGTCTTGTGGGGTTGATATGAGACATGAGCCTCTTCCCTTCAGGGAGGAGGAGAAAGGTCTCCACGAGGGGTTAAAGCAGTTGTGGTGGCAGTGTCCATCCCCACCAGGTGTTGGGATGGGGCTGTGGCTGTGACGGGTCGAAGGGTCTCAGATTCCTGCTCTCCCCTCTGCCCTGCCCAGTCTCTCCCCCTGCTCTACAGCCCATTGAATGAGGTGGTGGGCGGGATGACCTTCAGCAAACTCATCGAGGTCCTGCAGGAGCTGACGCATCCTCTGCCTGAGTGCCCTGAGCTCCCCCTCACCATGGCCTTGAAGAACCAGGTATGTGGCCCTGAGCCTTGTGGTGTCCCTGGGGATGCCACCACTGCTGGCTGTGATGTTCCTTCTGGTGCTTCCCTGCAGTTTGGGATCTCCTTACTCTACTCCCTGCTGAGCCATGGGGAGAGGCTGCTGTCATCGGATGTGCCATTGGAGCCGCGGAGTGGAGACTTTGAGGCGTGGTGAGGGGCTGTGTGAGCTGTGGGGTGGGGGATCTGCCAGCCCATGGGGTGCTCACCCTCTGTGCCGGTGCCTCCAGGACAGACACGGTGTACCTGGTGGCCCGGGAGCTGTCGCAGGTGCCCAAGGCCTTGCTGGTGGAGCCTCTTTTCTTGCCCAGCAACCTTCTCTCGCTCTTCTGCCGCTACCTGGACAAGCAGACTGTCCACCACCTGGAAGCCAAGATGGAGTGAGTACTGCCTGGAATGGCTCCCTGCCTCTCCTGGGGATCCTCTTGGAGAGGAGGAGCGGGACAGCATTGGGGCCTTACTGCTTCCGTCCCCCTTTGGACTTAACTCCAGACCTCCATGGGGCTGACCTGATCCTTGTGCCTTTGCTCCTGCTTCTCTGGGGTGGGTCAACAACCTGATGCTCCAACCTCATCCTTCCCCTGCAGGTGCTCCCCGCTGCCATCGGAGGCTGCCATGTTATGCTGAGCCCCAGAAGTCGGGAAGGGGATCCGGGGCCAGTGGTGCTGGGAACGGGCAGGGCCCAATGCCATGACTTTTGAGTTTGGAAGTGAACATTTATTTACCCTGGTGCAGGGCACTCTGGGTGATGTGGGCACTGGCAGGACCAGCTCTGGAGGGCTGATCCCGCCCTGCCCCTGTGCCTGGGAGCACAGGGAGGGTGTAACTTATTTTGGCTTCGTACCTGGCAGTGGTGTCGAGTTCGGGGTCTGCACAGGGGCGCTGGGAGCACCTGGGGGGGGTGGAATTTGTGTATAGCACTTGATATAAAATAAAAAGGTGATTAACTAGCTCCTCTGGCTCCTGTGGGCAACTTCTGCTGGGTCCTGCAGGCATTGCTTGGCATGGAGACCCCAGTCTGGAATGGTGGAGATCTGGTAAAGGGGAAGGAAAAGCACAGAGGGGGATGCTCAGAGTACGCAGGAGGAGGATAAGGGGGATGGAGGAGAAGGGAGTGCTTGGAGAGGGGATCAGAGGATCCATGTGGCTGGGGACAGAGGGGGGTTGAGTGCCCAGGGAGTGGAATGGGCTGGGAGAGAAGGGATGTGGTGGGGAAGATGAGTCAGAGGTTGTCCTGACAGGGAAGAAAAGATCCGTGCAGGTACCTGGGAACACATGGAAAGGATATGGGGGATCTTAAACATACATGGGTGGGTCATAAAGCTCTTGTCTCCAATGAGCTCCCAAAGACTCTTTAGTCCTAAGTCTTGCAATCAGGGCCACAGTAAAGTACCTTGAAGCATCTTTCTGAGCAATTTTGGCTACCCCAACCTGATTCTCACTCCTGCATCTAGGCCTGAGCAGGTTCAATTTCTGGTCCCAGGAATTTTTGTGGCTCCTGCCTGGCTTTATGCTGGGATTTCCCCCAGTCCTATGGGACATCTGAGACTGGGCCACCTCCACCTGCCCAGAGGTCTACACCTGACATCCCAAGTCTGGTGTGTATTTAGAAGAGATTTGCAGCAGAAAATTGTCTTATCCTCAGACTGCCCAAGCTCCAACCCAAGTAGGTGAAACTATCACTTTGAATGGTCATCTTTCAGGCATCAGATGGGGAATTTGCAGAAAATAAGGATGTGAGGGGTTGGGTGGGATTTATCTCCACTGCTTATCAAGGCAGCTTGGTTTCCTCTGCTTCAGAGTGCAAGGTCCAGTGGAAGGATCTCTAGATCCTTTTGGCAGTTGTGTTTGTCATCCTGCTGCCTCTCCTGCTCATCTTAAAGGGTGTGTATACTCCTCATACTTCATCCTTGGGAAGTTTTTTGGGACAGCTGTGTTTCATCCCTAGCCATCCACTTCAAACGAGTGACACTGGCAGGTTGTCCTCATTCCCAACGCACTGAGGCAATCCAGGAGGGTGCCTGTGTGGGGTCCCACCTGACAGCCAAAGGACAGACATTGCTGTTACAAATCTCAGAGGGAATTTCAGACAGGAGGGAATGAGCAGCTGTTCCCTGATAGCAGGAATTGGGGAGGACACCAGAGAGTCCTTCAGATGAGGATAAGCTGTGTTATGTTTTTCTGTTTGCTTCTTGCCTGGCAGCCAGCCTGGATGAAGGATGGGAGTGTGACATGGCTGCAGCCACGTACTAGACCAAGTTCTCCAGTGTGAGGGGATGGAGGTCTATGCTGGATTTTGCTGCTTCATTGCAGGAAACAGCTGAGGGAAAAGAAGGAAAATCCATCTCTTTTTGTTACTCTCCCATAACTGAGGGGCTCGCAGCACCCAGCAGCTTTCTCAGTGCTTCCCACCCTCTCCCTGGGGCAGCACTCAGGAATTCAGATGAGGGGCGTCCAGCAGGTCAGGGACCCCCATATGGTTCATCTACATTCCTTAACCCACAGCTAGTGGAAGTCCAGGGCATCTCACCTGGCTCTGCCTCACTTGTTGCCCTGCCTGGCTCCTCCTGGCATTGTCCTGAGAGGATTGTGGCCCGAGGGAGTGGTGGTGACCCAGCACCATGAGAGGGCTGTCACTGTCACAGGGATATGGGGCTCATCCTGGGATGTCTGGGATTCATCCTGAGACATCTTGGGACTTATAGGGCTTATCCTGGAATGTCTTGGTGGGTATATGGGGTTCATTCTGGCATGTCTTGGGGAATATAGGACTCAGCCTGGGACATCTTCAGGGTACGTAGCTCATCCTGGGATGTCTTGGAGATTGTATGGGGTTAATCCTGGGCTGTCTTGAGGGTATAGAGCTCATCCTGGGATGTTTTGGGATCTATGGTTCTCACCATGGGATGTCTGAGGAGGGTATGAGGCTCATCTTAGGATGTCTTTGGGGTTATAGGGCTCATCCTGGAAAGTCTTGGAGGTCATATAGGTCTCATCCTGAGATGTCTTGTGCAGGTGTAGGACTCAGTCTGGGACATCTTCAGGGTGTGGGGTGTACTGTGGGATGTTTCGGGTGGTATAGAGCTTATCCTGAGATGTCTTGGTGTCTTGAGGGGTATAGGACTCATCCTGGGATGTCTGGTGGGGGCAGTATGGGGCTCATCCTGGGATGTTTTGGGGGAGTATGGGGTTAATCTTGGGATGCCTTGAAGGTATGGAGCTCATCAGGGCTCATCCTGGCATGTCTTGAGGGGTATAGGGAAGTCTAGGACATCTTCAGGGTATGTGGCTCATCTCAGGATATCTTGGAGGTTGTATGTAGTTCATCCTGGGGCATTATCAGGGTACAGGGCTCATCCTGGGATGTTTGGGGGGGGGGTAGTTCATCCTGGAATGTTTTGGGGAGGCAAAGGCTCCTCCTGGGTTGTTTTGGGAGGGGCAGAGGCTCAACCAGGGCTGTTTTGGGGCCTGAGGCGCTGAGGGGACACGGAGCCCTGGGCTCAGCCACTTCCATCCGGGGGACCGATGCTCCCCCAATCATCTCCATGGTACGGCCCAGCCCCTCCGTTTCCATGGTGACCGCGCGACGCCCTACAGCCGCGCCGAGCGGCGGCGCTCATTGGCCGCCCGTGCCGGGGGTGGGCGGGGCGGACGGGGGCGGTGCCAATCCGAAGCCCGTCCGCCGCGGCGGCCCCGCCCCCGCGGGTTAAGGCGCGGCGGGCGCTTCCGGCGCGGGCGGAAGCGGCGGCGATGGCGTCGGGCGGCGGCCGCGGGTCCCGCTCGCCCTCCCCAACCGAGCGTCGCCCGCCGCCCTTCCCTGAACCTCCCGGGCCCGGCGCCCCTGACAGCGACTCGGAGGGCGAGGACATCTTCACTGGCAGCGTGAGTGCGGCAGCACCCCCCGGGGGGCGCTGAGGGGCCGGGCCCGGTGTCTGCAGGCTGCAGCGGGGCTTGGTGAAAACAGGAGGAAACACCCCAAAGCCCCCCGAGATAAAGGGGGGGCGATGGCTCTGGGCGTATGTCCCTGCAGGGAGCCCAGCGCCCCCTCCTCTTGGGGGCCGGGTGGAGGTCGGGGGTGGCTCTCGTGTCTGTGGGGTTGAGAAGGGGCTCGTGTTCGGCTGCTCCTCGTTTCCCCGGGGTTGTAACCTGGCCAGTCCTGCAGAACTGGTGTCCAAGTCCAGGCTGGACGGGGCTTGGAGCAACCTGGTCTAGTGAAAGGTGTCTCTGCCCGTGGCAGGGGGTGGAACAAGATGGGCTTTAAGGTCCCTTCAAACCCAAACCATCCCATAGTGGCAGCTGCAGCTCGGCCTCTTTGCTCTGCAGCTTGTGAGGCTTCACGGTGGGGGGAAGCCCCGTCTGCCTTCCCCCAGCATTGTCAGTTCTGGTCCCCTCGACATCCAGAGGGTCCTGGTGTGGCTGGTGTAGTGCTCGCTGCCCTCAGTTTGGGATTGAGGGATGAACCCCCAGTGCAGTGGGGGTGAGGTGACAGGAGGCATCCAGTGTCCCCTGCCTAGTAGGAGGGGGCTCACCAGTGCCCTACTGGGCTGAAGGAGGGTCTTGGAGGGTTTGGTGGTATTGGTTCAGCGAACAGTTGCTGCATTGCTGTACAAATTCCACGCTGAGGGGGGAGGTGTGAAGGATTTCAGCACCTTTCCTTGTTTCTGACAGTCTCCTGTGCAGGAATTCCAGGTTGCTGAAGTTTGTTGACACTAACTCTGTGCCAGCTCTGTCCTGGTGTTTGCTCCTGGCGGTGACAGGCAGGCAGGAGGGGAGTTAAAACACTGCCTCAGTTTGCTTTCCCAAACTGAATCCCTCCTCAACCAGCTGCTGGCCTCCCAAGGATCAGCATCTTCGTGGAGCAAGGATCTCTGCTAGAGAAGCTCTTCCAGCAGGCTGGAGGCTGTAATGCTGCGAGATTGATTCCCTGAACTCCAGGAACCTCTGCCCACCTCTCCCAGGCTTTTTCCAGCCTGTCTGATCCAGCCAGCAGTGCAGGAGGGATTGGTGTCTGTGGCAGGAGGCTCTCCAGGAACATTCTGCAGTTTCCCAGCCCAGGGAGGCCTTGAGCAGAGTGTGGCTGTGACTATGTGAATCCACTGGGAATGGCCTGGCCAAGCTTCTCCTGCCACCTGCACAAATCCAGAGCGACCTCTGCTCTGCTTCTGGTGCAGCTTGTGCCTGGTGTCCTTGAGCTGTGCTGGTGTTGCCAGTGGCCTGGGATAAGGGAACAAGCCAGATCTGGGGGGTTGTGGAGAGATTGTGACCTTGTGAGGATGAAACTCTGGCACTGCTCTGGGCAAAACAACAGCTGGGTCGTGTGTTTGGAAAACAACCTGGGAAAGTGCAACCCTGGGCCAGGCAAGAGGAAGGTGCTGGTACCTCTGGCAGGCACCAGGTCATGGAGATGGCCTGGAGCTTCTCAGGATCTTTCTTTGGTGAAGAACTGGAGGATGTAATAGGTGGCTTGTTGTGGCCCACCAAAAGGGATGAATGCCATTTAATTTCACAGGAATTCCTGTACTGGAAGGGGAGGCTGGGGAGCTGCAGCAGCTTATCAGGTTCTTAGTGGTGTTGTTGAAGCCACTGTCATAACTAATACTTGGCTCTTCCATGCAACATGGTGGCTTTGCTTGTCTCTCCGCCCTTGAACATTAGGAAAACACTTTCTGGGAAGCAGGGGAGGCAGATCCGCCCAGCTGCCGACATTCATGTGGCTCAGCAGCACTTGGACATCATGCAGTAGCCGGAAAAGAAGGGTTTGGGTCAGACCCAAATATAACTAAAGCTGGACCTCACCTGCCTGTGACGGAATCCCAAAATAAGCTGAGTTGGAAGGGACCCACAAGGATCATTGAGTCCAACACTTAGCCCTGCACAGGACCATCCCTAAGAGTCACACCATGTACCTGAGAGCATTGTCCAAATGCTTCTTGAGCTCTGGCAGCCTTGGTGCTGTGACCTGGGGACACTTTCCAGCACCCAA